GGGTAAAATTAGTTTTCTGTTTAACTCTGGAAATGAACCATAGCACAGGTTGTAAAGCACTTGTTGACAGATAGAAACGTTTGTCAGAAAGTAACAAATAAACATGAGACTTGAATCTAATGACTACTTCCATCTACTAATAATTTGAACAGTCTGAGTCATGATCTTCAGACTCTCTTACTCTTTAAAAGAGTAAGTTGCCATATCTCTTGTCAGGTTTAGCCTTGTAAGTGTACCATAAAAACATTCTGTTTCATGACATTCTTACACAGAAAAGCCTGTATACGCAGAGGTTTGTACATATTTATGTGTTAATAGTCAAATGAGTAATTGTTCCAAGAGAATCAGAAATCCCTGTCTGTGGTAGGTTGACCCTGGCTGGGTGCCAGGTGCCCACCAAAGCCACTTTATTACTCCCCCTCCTCCGCTGGACAGGGGAGAGAAAATATAACAAAAGGCTCATGGGTCAAGATAAGGACAGTTTAATAAAGTGAGAGCAAAGGTCACGCATGAAAGCAAAGCAAAGGATGTTATTCTCTAATTCCCATCAGCAGGCGATGTCTAGCCACTTCCTGGGAAGCAGGGCTTCAGTATGTGGAGTGGTTGCTCTGGAAGATGAAAATGCCCCCCTTCCGTCTCCCTTCACTTAGCTTTTATATCTGAGCTGACGTCATATGGTATGGAATATCTGTTTGGTTAGTTTAGGTCAGCTGTCCTGGTTATGTCCCCTCCCAAGATCTTGCCCAGCCCCAGCCTGCCATTGAGGGGGGCAAAAATGTTGGAGAGACAGCCTCGATGCTGTGCCAGCACTGCTCAGCAGTAGCCAAAACACTGGTGTGTTATCAACAGGTTTCTAGCTACCAATCCAGAGCACAGCGCTACGAGGGCTGCTATGGGGAGAATTAACTCCATCTCAGCCAGACCCAATATGCTATCTCCTAGATTTTTTTTTTAAATCTAAATCACGGTAGCAGTGAGGAAACATCACATCTTTGCTGTGACTCTTCAGTTGCTAAGGTAAACTGAGGAGTTTAAGTGGCAGAAGGATAGGAAGGATTCCCAGAAAAAACACCTTTATATGTTAGAATCTGAAGGAATTCAGAACGGACACTTCAGACAAGTAGGAAGCTTTTATAGGAGTAATTAAAGTATGACACAGGCCAGCAACAAGCTTTAAGGACCAGGAAAAGGACAGCTCACGTGCACAAGAACATCTTTCTGTTCGGTTCTAGAGGACAAAAGCAACCTTTTGTGGCATCCTTCAGCACATGGTTGCTACAAGCCTTTGCAACATGTGGACTATCCTCCTTTTCATGTATGTGTGATGAAGCATCAAACTCCAATTTTAAGATGCTATGTTGTGACCTTATTTTGTTCAATGCAGGTATGATGATGAAAAGAAGGAATGGATTGGCATACTGAAAGAGATCCGATATGCTACTGGAGCCTCCTGCCTGGCTACACGCTTAAACCTCTTCAAGTTATCAAAACTGTAAACAAAATGCTGGAAAATTTGATATGGTGAGGGAGTTTTGATAGGCCTTTCTGGTTTTGTTGCATGAAAATATCCCCAAATTGTACAGTTTTGTAGCAGCACACTAGTTATACTGTTAACTGTTAAAACAGTTCATCTGTCTGTCCAAGTCTTAAGATATGTACTAGGTAACCAACAACAACTGATTTCTTGCCAACGTTTAAAATCCTCAAGAATTCTAACTAACGTAGATTAGAATAAATGAAGATTTCAGAGAGAACTCCATTTTTCACTCTGTGAAGTTGCCAACCAAACTAGTTAGACTTCCTTACACTCAGACAATCCAGGATATTGGTGCCTTATCCTCCAAACAATGCCCATGAATTAATTGTTAAGTTAAATACAACTAGTAGGTATCTAATTTTATTCTAACTGGCTGTTTGTACAGCCCTGATTTCCCCCTTCAGCATTTTATGTAAATCCTGCATTCATCAGACATATCTTGAAAATATTTTCATTAGAGCCTTCTAAAAATAATTTAGCTTGGAATTGAAATGCATATTGAAAACAAAAGTGGCTTAATACTATGTGGCCTAAGAAATGCCAATCTCAGCTAAAGCTGTACTAGTAGCCAGACGTGTGAAGAAAGAGAGACAAGTTCACAGGGTTAATAGCGCTACTGTTTCACCTACTATGTTTAGGCTTCTGGTAACAAGGATTTTCCACTTTTTTATGCTTTTATATTTATTTCCAAAGCAAGTATTTTATGGACATTTTTCTCAGAGAGCTGAGGCCATTAACAAGCGTTCATGAAAAAGTCCTAGAAGAATTGATCATCAGCAAGTACCTATGGCAGAGAGGACTTTTCCATCTAATACAGAGTTGATGCATTTTGATGTTGAAACTTTTAACAATTAAACTTTGTTTCAAAAACTATGGAAGTATCATTTATGGTGTCTCTTCTAGTGATCAGCTCATCATCACTGCCATATTGACAGGACAGATTTCTTGGTACTGCCATTGCCCAAAACAGCACTCGGTTTTCTTAAAGTAGAGCATGCCCACCATTTTCATAGAGAATCTCTTCAAAGGATTTCTCTGTTGAATAAAGAGGGTGTCCTAAATCTAAAGGATGTCATAAATCTTATGACAATTGATATAGCAGGAAAACTGGAAAAGAAGCCCACCACACCTGAATGAATAGCAATTCCAATTATAAGATGACCCCTTGCTTTGCCTTCCTAGGAGACAGAGGTAAACATACAGCAAAGGCAGAGCTGTCATAGCTCATTTTCAGTATGTTACTCTATACTGGTATTTAATCTGTGGGACATCTTTTGTTTTCCCATTTAGTAGCCAAATCTTTTCATTGGCTCCAGTTAAATCACTGGTTTATACGAGCCCATCTGCTCTAAACCTTGCCAATTTAATTTAGAAAGAATGACTGCAAAGGATCAAAAGCAGCACATTTTACTGAAATACTCTTAAATTTTGCTTTTTTTAGATGCCCTTTCTGAATCCACTCATAGCAATTTTTAATCCTCTTCCCATTGTGAATACTCGTAACTTTATCCATACGTAACTTGAAGATACCTGGCTTGGCACAGAGTGACTGCCAGATACCGGAAAAGCAGGGTTCAGCTCAAACACATGACTATCCATGACTGATCACTTCAGCCACAGCCACTGCCACCTTTCTTACGCTGCAGGATTGCTACTTGAAAGCCATCCGTACAGGCAACAGCCCTCTGACTTGTAGCCCACCTTCTGAGATCCTAACTTCTATTTATGATTTTCTTCTCCATTTTATACAAAATATAATGTGCATATAGTCTTTCTGTGTGCTGTGCCTTCAATGACATTACCTCAAAGCAGTCGTCTTCTACATCTTGGAGCCCTTGTCTGTTTGATAGCATAAGCAAACAACCATCTACTAGTTTTTTCAGTGATCCCACAAACATGAGGGGTGCCTCAGGAGGAAAGCACCTTGCAGCTTAGATCAGTTCTGTTGGTTTTTCCTGGCTTTTCGTTAGTGTCCTGATTTGTATTCAGTCAATAAAAATATTTTCTTCTACTACTGATTGAGTAGTAAAAAAAAAAAAGCAACAGCCAGATGCATAACGGTCAATTCAGAAATGCAGTTGCTTACCTCTGCCAGGTTTCAAAGGAAGTGGTAAAAAGAATGTCTATTGCTTCTACTAAAAAGGCAAGAAAACATATACACATTGTGTGTGTGAAGGAGATGGGCACAGCTAGCAGTCATCATGACGTAATGGCAGCTGTAGTCACAACATGGCTGCCTCTGAAAATGGGCTGATTTGCAGAAGTATGACCACTCTACAGTTACTGCTCTACAGTGAACATTATCCTGGCTGTTCCTCTTTTTCCTTCTACATTTCAGTGTCTTATGCCTCCTGACACAAACCCTGGCTGAGTGCGGTCACAGGAAGCCTGGTAACTGGCAGATGTTTCTGAAACGTGATAAATAAACCAGCAATGTTTTTCACCACCAGTAATCAAGGTGGTTGTCGCTCTCTGAAGGCCATTCTTGGTTTCAATTTTCAGCCTAATTTTGCTCTTTTATACACTGTCTTATTTACAGAACAGGCACGTTAGATGGTTTGTCTAAATTTATTTCCATTAGCAAGGGCTAGTCCAATGCATAATGCCATAATCATAAATTTCATTAATTATCCAGTTGCTAGTAAGTGCCTATGTCTGACATAAGCATTATTTTCTCCTAATCTTGAATAAATCTTTCAGGTACCCCTTCCAAGTTGCATTTAACTGGAGTACAGGTGATTCAAGGGTCTGGACTAGGTGCCAGACTGCTAGAACTAGTCTATCTTTTAAGTACATGAAGGTGTTCTGGAAGGCTCAAGACGTACTTTTTCTGCACACGCCACATCATGGCAGGAGAAGCAGCTGGAGGTTCCTCACCACACAACACCCTCCCCCGACACAGTCACCCACAGTACCTCTGTTCTGGAAGATGGAAACAGAATGGCTGCAATAGCAGTCCTATTCTTAGTAAATCTGCATTTCAGTTTCTTGGTTTCACAGTACAGATACTGTTGATCCCTATTGCTCATTCTGACACATGCTGGAGGACAGACAGTTTCCAGTAGATCTGCTGCCTCCTCTCTCACAGTCAAGAGTATTTCCAAATTTTTCTTTGGACAGTTTTATGCCTGGCTAAGCCTCTGTGCTATTTATTTAGGAGATAATAATAATGTAATTTTATAGTAAAACTGTCACAGACTCATGTACTTAAAGAATAGCTTCCAGATAATGGGAGATTTTAAGCATCCTTATCACATCTTCATGGCCCATTTCGACCTGCCTTTTGCAATCGCTAACAAATTGAGGATTAAGCCTCTTGACACCTGATGCCCCACGGCAAGCCCTGGTCCAGCTGACTCACAGATAAAGAGGTTTTTGAAACTAAGTATTCCAGGATTACAAGAAGTTTAATGGTACATAAAGTGTTTGTATAAAAAAAAAACTTTTGACTGCATATCTGTCATCACTGTATTCCATATAGATGCCTTCTCAGATATTCTAGCTGTTCACCTTTTGTTGACAAAACCATAGAATTCCATTCGAAGTGAGGAATCTGTAGAACAGAATCACACAAACTGAGTGTTAACATTGGTATAAGCCACATAGCATCTTACAGCAAAGAAAAAGCCCTCTGGTATTTTTTGTTCTCCACTTGAAGGTATTTTATCACCTGTGTCCTTCTGAAAGCTAGGCTTATTCTAATACTGAAAAGATTAATTTCTCAATGTAAGATTCTTCTTCATGTAAGTACAGTCAGTTTGCTTCCAGAAAGCAGCATAGTTGTAGAGATGTAAAGCAAATGCCCACGCAACACAGGCTATGACAGCTCCATTACACCATCTCCCACCTTTTGAAACCCAAACTGAGAGAAAAATCCCAGGTCACTATAGTTTGTAATGTTAATGTATCAAACTGGAATGGTGTATCACTAGCATAACATTTGCTGTCAGGGCAATATGAGAAAGGATGCTTATCCTGTTAAAAAACAAGCAAACAAAACCCAACCAACTTAAGCTTAAAGAAGGATTCTAGCTAAAATTAGAGTAGGTGAGTAATTATATATACAGGAGAATCTGCATTCATGAGCCTCCACTACCCAAATGTTTCTATGCTGGTGGCTGTGAATTATCTGTGGCCACTAGTCTTCCTTGTCACAGCACTACCACTGCCGCAGACAGACATCTTGCAGCTGCCATCACTGTCTATCACTCAAAGAGGGTATGTTCAATCTCTTTCTAGTGTAGAAATCTTTGGTGAATTGAATTGAAACTCTCGTTTCACTTTTTCTCCTTTACTTAGGCTATGTTGAGATTGCTAGTTTGCCTGCAGTAAGGTAAGACTGAGACCTTTTGACTTCAGTTTTGCTGCAGCCACTTTCAGAGAAGGTGCAAGTTCTATGAAGTCCTTACACCATCTTGAGAACAGCTTGGAATTTCCTCCCTAACTACAAAAATTGGTCTCACCCAGTAGGTGCTTTTAACTATTAAAACTATCTTTAAATCTGTTGCAAGGAAAATGTATCAATCTGCACTATCGATACAGCTCAGAAAGGACATAAAATATTGCTGACTGCTCACCTGAACTACCCGGTACCCCAGCATTTCCAGGTGTCGTTTTTTCAATGCAGATTCTCCTTTCAGGTGATGTGAATCTTTGCTAAAAGCTTTTGAATCAAGAAATTCCAAAGCAATTCTGGAAACAACAAAAATGTGCATTTACTTTCAGGTCCTACCTGAATAGCAAGAAGTGGTATTTCTAGTTCAGTATTGATAGTTGCAGCAAGACTATTACTAGATAAACCTGACAATTCATGGAAAAAGAAAATTAAACAACTCCCTGAAACTAGACAAAACACTGTCCTCATATTTATCTAGAGATACTTGAACTTCACATGATTTAGTAAAAGCATTTCCTCCTTGAATCTGTTTTTGTTCAAATGGCAATAACAGCTAACCAGCATTTTCAAGGCTTATATTTGAAGAGGTGGGAAGAAAACAGTATCCTAATCTCATGAAAGACACTTCAAGAATGCTGTCGGCCCTAGTGTACTGGGTCTGGCTGAGATGGAGTTACTTTTCTTCATAGCAGCCCATACGGTGCTGTGTTTTGGATCTGTGACCAAAACAGTGGTGGTAACACACCAATATTTTGGCTGTTGCTGAAGAATGCTTGCACAGCATCAAGGCCACCTCTGTTTCTCACTCTGCACCCACAGTGTATAGGCTGGCCTTGACAAGAGGTTGGGAGGGGACACAGCTGGAACCTCAACTGGCCAAAGCGATATTCCACACCATATAACATCATGCTCAGCAGTAAAACAGGAGGGAGTTTTTCCAGAGTAGCCATTGCTCCAGCATTGGTCTGCTGGTGGTGAGTGACTGCATTTGCATCAACTGTTTTCTTCCCCCCCCCCCCTTTTTTTTTTTTTTCTTTCTTCTCTTCACTTATTACTTTGTCTTAACTGCAACCCAGGAGCTTTTTTTCCTTGCTTTTCCCCTCCAGATCCTCTCCCACATCATACTGCAGGGGAGTGAGCGAGCAACTGGGTGGGAGATTAGTTAACAGCTGGGGTCAACCCACCACAGCTAGGAAGGCTAAACCTCATAAGGCTTTGGAAAAAGGAACAGAAAAATAAATAGCCTAGGAGTTGCAACAACCATTTAGGACATAAGCATCAAAAAACTGGTCTAACTTGATCTAAACTTGGAAGAGATAACGTGCAAGAATTCAGTGTACTAACCTCTGAGCTCCTGGTGGCAGAGCCTTTCTCCCTTTATCCTTGATATCATGTGTCAAGCGTATTCCCTCCACATCATCCAAAGGTGTATTCTGAGCCACATAGGAAAGAGGCTTTTTATTTTCATCCAGAACGCACTCAAAATCTGCGAGAAAACAGAACAAACCTGTTTACTGACAAAAAAAAAAAAGAAAGAATTTGATCTGTACAGTGCTTACTTCTAGAAAAACTAAGTGATAACCATAATTAGAGATACCCAATATCATTTATATTATGCAGAACTTTTTAGAAACTCTATTTTATACAGCAATTTCTTCTTTGCAGTATCTTGTGACCACATGCCCAGGGGCTTCCTAATCTTGGTGGTAATAGTGATATCAGAGGTCTCCATAACAATCCTTAGAGCATTAACTTCTCACCTATTTCATAGCAGTATGGTGTGAGAACAGACATTCTTGCATAATGGCTCCCTCCTAAGATCTCTGTCAGCATTCTGTGAACATGCTGTCGCAGTGGATTTATTTGGCTACTGCCTACAAAGACAAAATAAATAATTCATATATCAAGACTTCCACAGGCAAAGTTCTGAAAATAGCACTTCGTGACACTGCATTTTTGACAGCCAACCTACCGAATTAAAGCTTTTCTACAGATCCCTGGTGTTATGCCATCATAATTCAGAGACCATGTGATCATCTTTTAGGTGGAAAGTGGCAGGTGCCTATTAAGCATGAATTTCAAATCCAGATTTTCCATCCCAGGATTCTTCCCATTTACATACTACAAACACTATAGTTTCAGGTTTCACCTGTTGGATTTTGTTTGCTTTTAATCGTGCTTAGACACTTAAATAAGTATTTACTTATTTTGCATCTATTACACGCACACCACACTGTCACTTCTCTGTCTGTTGCAGATTGTTTGCTCCTTTAAACATCTTCAGTCTCGGAGACTCCATTAAACATCTTCAGTCTCAGAGATAAAGCAGCTGAGTTTGATGGATAGCAAAGCAGATCTCCCCCATGACAATTAGTAGAGGAGATACTGAGTTTGCATTAGCTGGATTTTCTGAACTGATCGCTATTCTGAAAGATCTCAGCTGCTACACTTGATCACTAGCCTACTTCTCCATTTCTCATCCTTGATGGATCTTGATTCTTCTGAGGAAGATGACAGCAGTGAGTTCAAAAGGAGGCAGCAAAGATGTTCACCTTGAAACATTTAAGTCAAATGTTCAGTCTTGTAAGTGAAGCACAGATCAAAGTGACCCATCTCCTCCAGTAGACAATCCTACTGATCCTCCTCCTGCCTCTCCACACTCCATGCCATATACACTGTTTCTGGGTATTTAAATTTTATTTCTTATAAAGAAATATCCCATCTCTATTACATTAATTCTCATGGGGCAAACTGCTTTGCTATCTGTTGCACTACTAAGTGGTTGCACTTTTCAAGAACATATCCTCAGCAGATAGTGGGGTGCACCTTTCTCAGCTTCTATTGTGTGTTAGTGGCAACATGACAGTTTTAGAAGCAGCATCTAGCAGTCTGTTGAAGATAGACTATTACTAGCAACAAGGGTAGCTTTTCCTTTCCTAAATTACTTACTGTTACAAAAGACACGTTGGCAGTAGTGCTCATGAAACCAAGGGATGTGAAACTCTGGGCATTCCAGACAGACTGCTCTGTTCAATTTCATGAGGCACAAGCGGACCCTCTGTTTTAGGATATCAGGCAGGACTGAGTTAAACAAAATAAAAAGGTGTGAACTGAAATGTAAAAAAATCCAACACATTGAACTAAGTGGCTACCTCTGAATTCTTTACTAGAGATGCAAATATCTGTATACTATGGCATTTATAAAATTCATGCTGCAGAATCTTAGAAACGTTCTCAAAATCCCTGAGGAAAAAATGAAAAGTAACAGTTTTGCTCAATATTCAGAACAACAGCAAGACAGAAGAAAGAAGCAGTTTAAACTCTCTTCTGTCATTTAACTTTTACTGAAGTGGTTGAAGGCAAAATGGCAACAGTACATTGATCACGACCAACATACAGGTATAGAAGAAGGAAACAGTCAGACACTCAGTCTCTTATTTAGAGAGAAGAGACTGGTAGGACTCATTTCTTGCAGACAAGAATCCCACATTATCTCTTGAGCTTTGTGACTATTTCTAGTAATAAATACCGCACTCAGGTACTTGTATTTCCAATAAAATTGAAGAATTATTAAATACTGAATGCAATAAGCTGACTATAAAATTTGTTTTAAATGAGCTTCTCTCAACTGCAATACAAGTCTGTACTTCTAAAACAAAGCACAAATTTTTGTTCATGCCTTCACTTTTAGCACTCAAATAATGACTAGATTATATAGAGGGCTCTTTCCAGAAAACTGAATCATTTAAAGAGTAACTCTAGTTCTCAAGTCATATATAGGTCCATGATTCCATTTTATGCCAAATGCTACATAATCAAATTCATCAGAGAGCTAGGTATCTACCTTCGAGTTGAGCATCCAATTTGCTTAGGAAAGAAACATTAAATATCCTCGTCATCAGAACTGGTGGAAAATACCCAGCCACTGCCAAAACATGACCAAGCAGCACCAAGCGGTGAGTTCCAAAACAACCTTTAAAAACCAGACAGAAATCCATATTAACACATGACATAAAGTGGAATGGATTTGCAATGCCCTCCCCTTGGCCTCCCAAATCATCCAAGTTTCTCTCTTGACGTACTAAATGAACACACAGGCAGATTAAGGACTACCTCTGCTAGCTGCACCAAAGTATAAGGCAACTCTTGCCAGGAGGAAACTAGTTAGTCTTAGAAAAAGGTAACTCCACAATATTTCAGTAGACAGCAAATTTTCACAGTTCTGTGAGGCTGTATCATCAATCAAAAAAAAAAAAAAAAAGTCTCTACACATTTCCTCTACAACTTCACCATTTCTTTGTGATGAATCACAAAATGTATCCTGTCCCCAAACAATGATTCCTTGGGGAACACAACAATTCTATCCAATAACAGCACAGCAAATTAATCAGAATTTCCACTTGATTTTTACTATGCTCAAGATACCTTGCTAGTCCCTTATCAACAGTAATTTTTAAAGGGTGAAATGAAGCTAGAAAACCCAACAGAAGCATACATTGAATTTTTGTTGTGGTTTAACCCCAGTAGGCAGACTATTAGTAGTAATATACAGACGTGCTTTTTCTTTGCTTAAAAAAATGCCATTCTATTGCCATTTTTATTCAGTACAGATAATATCTTCAAATGATACTCATTTATTTGGTGTCAGAATATCTTTGTCTAATGCACTTACTCAAGTTAGAAGTAAGACGTTGGATACAACTCTCAAAGAACTCTTCATTGGCAGGAGGGTCATAATTAAGAGCAGAGAAAAGGAAGAGAATAAAATAGATTTCAAAGGGGTGGATCTGGAAAAAAAGACATCCTAAATTAAGTCACTGCAAAATAGCCTAATACTGCTTTACAATAACAAAGGGGTTTATAATTCATTCAGAATTGGGAGATTTAAGACTAGATAAGCTATTTTCTAATTATTTTTGGGGGTGGTGGGGGGTGGTGTTGTCAACTTTTCCAGGAGAAAAATATTAAAAAAATAAAATGCAGAAATCATAAAATTGCAGCTATGGCTAAAACTTAAAATCTCTTTCATGTAGATAATCCAAGTGTTTCCGTGTACTTAGACTTTAAGAAGCTTTTAAAAAGGCTTCCCATTAAACGCTCTTAAAGAAACTAAACTGTCATAAAATAAAATCAAAGATCTCTATGAATACCAGATTGAGAAGGAGAAAGAAAGAAAAAAAAAAAAGATACCAATAAAACACAGTAATTTTGACCAAAAAGATAGGCTATTGGGGAAATCCCCACAAGAATGAGTAATGTAAAAATAGACACTGTGTGATGTGACTATTTGTAAAGAAGTTAAAAAAAAAAAAATTTAAGATGGTAAAATGTAAAGCTGAATGCAAAGGATTATGGTTGACCTAACACTGACTGACAACAATAAAATAAGAAAGGAAAATTAAAGAGAGGTAAGTGCAAATTAATATACATGGAATCAAAACAGCTTTGAGTGAACATAGAAAAAGATGAGCTCCAAATCAGGTACACTGAAGAAAACCCTTAGGAACACTGTGTGGATTCTGCTCTGAAACACATTAACTACTAACCTGTCCTTTCTTACTGAGTAACTTACACAGCAGATAAAAAGAAAAACTGTAATACCTTGTCTATATTTTCAACAGTCACAGAAGCTATTCTGTCAAGTAATGAAGGACAACGGTGGTTTGTTTTTATGAGAAAAAAAGACAACTGTAATACATTTGCCCATGTTATTTGGTCTATCAAGCGTTGACACATGGCCACAGTTTCCCCACTGAGGACTTCTTCAAACCACTCTCCATTCACATGTGTAAGTTCTTCCAACAGAAGATTTAAGTTGTTGGCTTTCTGAAGCCTCTGAAATCCACAGTCATTTAGTTTTTGCAGAAGCTTTACACATAGCTCAGAACTGTTTTGCCAGTGCAACTGATCATAATGATTCCATTTGACAAGAGCAGTAGCAATGCAATCCAAATGATGGAGCTTGCATTGAGGCAGAACTGCTGCTGCTTTGTTTATAATGACTTCCTCCACTTGAAAGGAAGGAAGCATGGCCAGAACACGAATTATTGCAGCAGTATCAGCAGGTATGACACTAGATTTTAGAAAACTGGAAGAGAGACAAAAATTAAAACAGACCATCAGTACTGACAAAGTGCAAACATTTAAAACAAGCAAATAACTTACGTGCATTAAAATTATATTTTAAAAGTCAAAAGCTGTACATTAAATGTAACATAAGTAGAATATTAACAACATGGTAGAAATTCACACAGTCAGTGACTACCATCTTTTTTCATTGAGATTAACTTCCAATTTATTAAAAATTGAAAAAGGGAAGAAGACAGGGAGCATCTCAATCAGCTGGTGAGGCTTCAAATGTTATTGATAAATACAGAAGTCCTTAGTAAGGGCAAAAGGTCCATCTTTGTTAACAGAGTCTGTGGGTTTCTGGGCCTGGATAATTCTGTGACTTCTGTCCTGGGGAGAACCAGGTTCTGAGGTGCCTGAGGAACATGAAGGCATCATCCACAGAACACATGTACAGACAAGGCACTGCATTCTTATAGAGGCTGAGCAATGGAAGCAACAGTGGCAGATCTCTTCTCCCACAATTCCAGAAATGGTTTCCCTTTCTATGTTGCAACTGTACAAGCCTGAGAACTGACTAGACAGTTCTTCAACCAAAAGAAGAGTACTTCTGCTTCACACTTTCACTTGTCCCAACCATGGCGTTCTTACTGTGTATTTTTCATTACTTGTTCCTTCAAACATCAAAGACATTAATACCTACCCTTCCTATAAAGTACCAATCAAAATTTCTGGTTCAATGTCATTATATTGCAGCGGCCAAGGGGCGAGGGGCAAAAAAATCTATTTTTAAAATATGTCATATCTATTAGCGGATACTAATGGGTCTATAGTCAAGACAATATCCACTTCCTATCCTCTGATTTGCGTGTTTGACAGAATCAAATACTTCTAACAGTTTGTTACTTCTTCATATTTTATGGAAACAAAACAATCTAATACCTTAGCTGGTTATTTAAAATATTAAGTAGACAACTGTTTAATACTTAAATAGCTACATTTCCAAGAATATACACTTACCCTAATAATAACCTTTTTAGTTTGGCAAACAGCTCCAGATCGTGGCAACGCAACACCACCAAGTACTGCGTTAACTTTACCAACTGTATTACATGATAGCTATCCAAGTGTTTGTGCAGAACAGAAGCCATTCTAAACACAAAGAGAAAAAGATGACATGGTGTTATGCTAATACAGAAGATACCGCAAAACCCAATATCATGCATGAAGAAGGGGTGTCCTGTGGTGCACAGTATCTAGGTGGAGGGTTGCACACACCTGCACTCCTCGCCACCCTAGTTTTGACAGTGTTCCACTACGACACAGCAGCCTCTCTCCACCTAGTGAATTGCAAAATTAAAGCCCTCATCACAGCAAAACAGCTACTTCACTCTAATAATTTCTGTTGCAGATTTTACAATCAGTTAAATTTAGAGTAGACCAAGAACAGGATAAACTAGAACAGCATCACTAGCCTCAGCACCACTGTACTCACTTATCTAATAGTGGTTGCTACAGCTATGTTGGTCTAAAGCTGCAAGAGAGGGCTAGATTTGTAGGGAAAGATAATACCTTAAGACCTCCTTTAGACAGTGAGATTCAAGGAGAAACACCATGAATTCACACGGTCTTCCCTTTCTCTTCACCACAGTACTACCTGTCCTTTTTCTTCCAAGGATCTATTTGGGTTCATACAACTACATTCAATCCAGCTATTGCACACAACCTGCATTTAACTCTGCTGCATCCGTGACATACCTGATGCTACATCTTCTGTGTCCAAAACCTCAACTGCTTTTCCCTTCATTGTATGGAAGATATTACCTCTCCCTATAAACAACATTCAGTCTACAGCTGCAAAAAATCTGGTCCAGGTTCTTAAAGACACAAGAATTAATAGTTTAAAGTAGGGCACAATGACTTCTGAAGAAACAACTCACATCAGTAACAGGACCTCTTAGATAGGACACATTGTCTACAATTTACTATATTCTCATTTGTCTCACCAGTTTACAGTAATTGTTATAGGCTATGTTTCCTCAAATAGGATGACATATTTGTAAATAAGGCAAAAATTATATTACAATAACTTGGTAGGGTTGAAATGCCCTTCTATGAAATCCCTAAATTGCCTCAATTACTTCTGGGTCAAGCTGCAAGATTCTAAAATCTGTAACAGCTAATTATATATAGTGTATATGGATTTGTGTGCAAGTGACACGCTCTCCAGTCCCAACTTACTGGATATTATATAGTTTTTCATACTAAATGGAAGCAGTTTACCTAGAGAATACAACTTTTTAGTAGTATATAAAAAATTACTTTTTGAGTAGATGAGAATTTCTGCATTTCATTTTCTGCATCGTTTTCAGTATTACCAATACTTGGTAACTGCTAAATTCTTCCGCTATGCACACTGCAGTTACTAGCAACCTAAAGAGGAAAAGAAAAGATAGATTTTCCAAAGAAAAAACAGTTGAAAATCTCCAGCAAAGATTGCAGCCATTTTCTTTGTCTAGGAGGGAAAGAACCAATAGACTACTTCAGGAAATACAGGAAAACAAATTCCCCCAAACTACAGACCTTTGTTCTGTGCACCCTTCTTCTAAATGGTTGATCTGTATGGCACAGATAAAGAGATGTGGGTGTGTCAGATCAGTACATGTTGCTCTTATGCTAGAAACCAGTGAGCCCAACAATTCTGAAAGTAGACAAGAAGTAGGAAAGGTACCCTAAGACACTAAACAATTCACGATCAATCAGCAAGCTACAGATAACAGAATCAAACATGAGTTGAACTGGCTCTGGGGCAAATAAAGCCAACAACTTTTTCTACCTCACACTGATTTTTACCAAAAATAAAATAAATTTTTTAAAAATCTAGGAAAAGCTTTTGGAACTAACTCAGCTACAGCAAAACCAACACAGGCTTGCAGTATATCCAGATCTCTGAATGGAGGCAAATATTCATGAAGAAAAGTCTGAAAATATGACTAACTGTAATTAATACAGCAAATTCTGCCTAAAACTGCAAACTTTGAGAGACCCATGACTAATGCCACCCCCAAATAGGATTTTGTAGCACAAGAAAAACAGACAGAGAAAAACCTGCCACACAATACTATGGTCTAATTGCTAAATAAATGCTGAAGTGCTCCCTGCTGACAACCTTTCATATAGAATAGGATGTACAGCAAACTGGGATAAGTAAGACTTGGGCTGTTTCAGCTACTGTCAGTCTTGAAAAAGCAACACATACCACTGCATATATTTCTCAAGGGAAAGACAGAAAAGTTTTTTACTACCACCCACTGTGAAAGGAAGGCTGTAGTCTAAGAGACAAGAGCTGCAAGATGGCCTTGCATAACAGCATTCAGATACCCCTTGATTACTGGATTCAGCTTTCTATGCAACTGTTTTAAGACAAACTGCTATGACAGTGTTTCCATAATGAAATAACACATTGCTACGCAGTTGCAACTAGGAAACCTAATGCTCAGCTCACAGATAGGCTCAGAAATTCCTCCTAATGCCACTACATTTTTAATTTCTGTGCAAGACTACATATATATCATTAGACAAAACTGTTAATTAACTTACCTTTCTCTTACCTTGGATCCTGCCATAGGCCCAAGGATAAAAAATAATTTTGCAAAGGTTTCAGGATCATAATAAACATCTATATTTTCAGAGAGTAATTGTTTAGCAACCAGGCGGAATTCAGCATTGTCAAAACCCAGCTGCTCGTACAGCCCAAGAATAAGACTTATACTGTGTATATCAAGATGGGAGGCACTTTTAAGGAAAATCTTGTTGCATTTTTCTAGCAATGGATGATATCTCAGTTTAACATTTTGAAGAAACTGTAGTATTCTTTTGGCATAGTTGAAGTGGACTTCATCCTTTTCTTCCAAGAGCTGTCCAGCCTTGTGTAGTAATCGATCTCGAAAACGCTGTGAGATAACATCAGAAATGCTGATCATCAAAACTGACAAGATCCTAAAAAATTAAAAAGATTTTATGCTTACACATTGAACATGAAAAGTAATAAATTTTAGATTTCTTAAATAAACTATGCAAAGAAAGAAACGTTAGTCAGGGTGTTGCTGGCTTCTGCGTAAAACGGAATTTTAAATCTAACACAGAAAAAACAGATGAGCAAAAACCATTTCTCCTACTAAAGTAAAAATTCTGCTTTCAGTGAATTTCTGAAACAACTGGATGTTTTCAACCATCCCTTACAAAGTTGTATGCAATGAAAGTGTTTGCCTAAGGCAAGACCCTCACTTGCCTGATTCGAATTTGCAAAAAGACCTTTAATGTTCAATGGAAACTAAAGAAACCCAAACAATTCTCAAGTGACAGAATGCAGAGAAGAGTCATTGTCACTCCTAAAGAAAGAATTCCTTGTTAAGGGAGTAAAACTTATGACCACAGGGAGAGTAATTTCTGTAAAGAAATGCAGTCCCATTCTATGAGTTTCATAAGCAGGCTCCTCACATCCGCAAAAGTAACTGTTGGTACTGCTGATGCTATATAAAGCAGAAAAAAGGAAGAGCAGCCTTTGCTATAATGGCCCAGGGAGAACAGAGGCAAGAAAAAGAAGCTTGGAGTTCTTTGACTAGGGCCAGGTTTTAAGTAATTTTAATATTAGGGTAATGCACTAGACATGCTAGCAAGAGAATTGATTAATTCAACTTGACCAAAAATAAAAAGAAATGCTCTGAAGATAAATAAAAATAACATTGCTTTAAGAGTCCTTATTGCTATTCACAACAGTAAACTAAATCCATGTCATAGCAGAGAAACTATCAATGTCACGGAAGAAAAACATCTTCTGGCGAGTCAACAGTCTCTAAATTCCAAAAAAAGTCCAAGTAAATTTTAGAATCCGGATAAAGCAATATCTGCTGGTTTTCCACTGTAAGTAGAACATTAGTTTTAATTAAGTGTTTAAATTGGTTATAAAGAAATTCTTTGCAAAATCATTGGGAAAATGCATTTGCCTAAGCAGACCTGTCCATGAAAATCAAGGCATGAATACAAATCACCTCCTTCTCACAAACCCCAAACTGAAGAAAAGCAACCTCCAATTGAGAAAAAGGGAAAGTGTTCAGCAAAGGCAGCCCAGTAATCGTAACATATTGCTTCTTCCACTACTCATTTCATCCTGACACTTACCTTATATCTTGTATAGAATCCAGTTTCATGTCCACAATATGAGCTACCTGGCCAATTACAGGACTGAAATGTCTGTGTCGCTTGTATAAACACAGTGCGAATTTAGACAGAGCTGGCAAACTAAGCCTGTCAAGACATCAAAGACAGACAGAATATTTACCTTTTATTTCTAGTGAATAACTAAAGACAAAAATCTACTTCAACAATTATATAAAAGACAAGGTTATATTCAAATTACAAAACAAGGAAACAAAATAAGCATTTTCTATTTGGTCACCTTGGGCTTAGCCAAAACACCTAGATATTTCATATTAAAGCATATTGTGCATATGGAGCTCTAAAAAACAAACAAACAAAAAAATAAAATCAGAGTTCTTCATTTAATCAGACCAACGTAAGAAATCTATAAAGATTACATTCTCAAGCAATGATGTGAAATAGTTAAAAGCATAGAATGGGTTGGGTTGGAAGGGACCTTAAAGATCATCTAGTTCCAACGCCCCTGCCATGGGCAGGGACACCTTCCACTAGAACAGGTTGCTTAAAGCCCCATCCAACCTGGCCTTGAACACTTCCAGGGAGAGAGCATCCACAACCTCTCTGGGCAACCTGTTCCAGTGCCTCACCACCCTCACAGTAAAGAATTTCTTCCTAATATCTAACCTAAATCTACTCTCTTTCAGTTTAAAACCATTACCCTTCGTCCCACCACTACACTCCCTGATAAAGAGTCCCTCCTCATCTTTCCTGTAGCTCCCCTTTAGGTACTGGAAGCTGCTATAAGGTCTCCTCGGCGCCTTCTCTTCTCCAGGGTGAACAACCCCAACTCTCTCAGTCTGTCCTCACAGGGGAGGTGCTCCAGCCCTCTGATCATCTTCGTGGCCCTCCTCTGGACTCGCTCCAACAGGTCCATGTCTTTCTTGTGTTGGTGTCCCCAGAGCTGAATGCAATACTCCAGGTGGGGGTCTCATGAGAGTGGAGTAGAGGGGGAGAATCACCTCCTGTGACCCGCTGGTCACACTTCTTTTGATGCAGCTCAGAATGCAAGTGGCTTTCTGAGCTGCGAGCACACATTGCCGTCTCACACTGAGCTTCTCGTCAACCAACAACCCCAAGTCCTTCTCCTCAGGGCTGCTCTCAATCCACTCATTGCCCAGCCTGTATTTGTGCTTGAGATTGCCCCGACCCATGGGCAGGACCTTGCACTTGGCCTTGTTGACCTCCATGACATTCGCACAGGCCCACCTCTCAAGCCTGTCAAGGACCCTCTGGATGGCATCCCTTCCCTCCAGCACGTCGACCGCACCACAGAGCTTGGTGAGGGTGCACTCCATCCCACTCTCCATGTCTAAATGAATGTGAGCAATTTATTACCTGAATGTTATTTTGTGTTCAAGCTACACTGAATTTATTTACTTGTCAAGATGCCCCAGGCGTTAAGCTGGGAGAGGCAATTCTGTGATGCTGGTGCCAAGATTGACACTAGCTTCTGCCATTAACCTGAGATTAAAGAATGAAAATTACAATATATATTAAAAAAATCAAAACCCAACAAAAAAAAACAACAAAAAACACAAAGGGAAAATGTTGATGTTTTAATACAAAAGGTTTTTTACTAAAATTGAGATGAGCAGGGTCCAAACCACCATTTGAGTTGGACAGTAAACACTAAGTTAAAACCATAAATATTAAAACCTGCAATTCACTTCAAACACATAAATCTACACAGACAGTGTATTTCAAAATCTTAAGCGTCTGTCCCCGTTGTTGCTGTATCTGAATCTCTCAAGCATTTGTGTACCAAAGTCCATCAATACTCAAAGCCTCCATATGCATAATTTTCAAAACCTTCAAAAATACAACTGATATTTAAAATACTCGCAATAATGTTTAAAACATCTCGTAAATACTCTTTTGAGAACTCTGTGTAGCCTCATGTGAAGCAAATCACACTTGCAACTTATACCTTTCACAAACCAAAGTAGTACAGTACTTGCCTTTCTAATCTTTTCCATGCCTCTGTAACAAGCACTTCTGCTAGAGAACTGTGGTCTTCAACATTGAGCCTTCAGAAGAAAGACATAATAGTTTGAAGTTTGCTTCGAAAGTTATAAAGAAGACATATGTCCTTTCATTATTTATCATAATGTTTTACTTTTCTATCGCTCCCTCCATCCAGATTATAAATATTTGTGCATTAATAATCATAACTCTATTTACTGGGAGTGCAACACTGATCAGTTCTGTCTGCATGTCAAAACCTGAGGCACAGGACATTAAGTTGTCTGTGTCACACAGTCAGAGTGACACAGAAGCTGGGACAGGGAAGTCTCTCAGTCTCCTTACAGGATGGCTTTGTAGTCAAAATTCCATCTCTTTTTACTACCAAATACAAAATGTAGAGATGTGGAATTCAACATAATGCTGCTTACCTCAGAATACTATACAGGGTGTCCACTACGGCCTCATCTTCCATGTGTTCCACCTTGTTTTCTGCTAAAATGCAAAGGGTAAGAAACTGGGAATGATTTCTTATATAGTCACTAGTCCTTAAGAGAAGTGGCCTCTTCTTTTGCAATTGCCACAGCATGTTCAATGCAATTCCCACATGTTTTTCAGAAAGCCTGGCCTTGTTCCTTCCAACAAGGTTGAACACTTCATCTTCATGGGTGCAGCGATTTATCTGGCTCAAAAGCAGATCACTACTCAGAGTCCGAGCTTGGTAATGTCTCAGCGTAAACAAGCAAGCCTGCCTCAAACAAAGCATTTTGCTATGCCTACCAGCTATCTTTAAGGCATCCAGAAAGATTCTTCTTTCACTTTTCACAGTAAACCATGTTGTTACAAAGAACAAACTCAAGTATTTGAAAAACAGAAGATCATTTTTCTTTCATCCTGTATGGTCACTGTATTAAGAAGAACTCGGTTCTGAGGTACCTGTAATGAGGTAGAATTAAAGCAGTTAAGTACAGTCATTAACTACTAGCTAAAAATCAATGCCTCTACTTTTTAATGTTCTGAGTAAGGTAAGCTTGAGACGAACCTACAGCCTGGATTCTTCTCAGAGAAGCTCCCAGCAATGAACACTGACATGCTCACAAGCACTAAGAAAAGTCAGTCCACTTGGCAAGTTTTCAAACTTAGAAATCTGTGTTTAAAAGGCACATGTGCTATCATGCTACTACTTAGAAGGCAAAGCTGAGCTTTTTAACATGCAGGCGCTGCATGACTAAGTCAAGTGAGGCTTCCTCTCACTAGGCCACTCCATAATTCCAAACTGGAGTCCAGGAACTGCCAGAAAAATACAACTATTGGTGGTAAAAGGAAGTGAGACAGCAAGAGCTCCTAAGCTGGCATCACTGGATTCCTCTGGTTCTGTATGTGCATCCATCCCACAGTGATATCTACTGCACCTCCTGTCTATGAACCTCTCCCAGAGTTTCCTTTCCACTCTGCTCTCTTTAGTACGTGTCTAAGTCTTGTAAACACATGAAGATTTTGGTATATGACTTCTAGTCAGGAAGACTGACCACCTTTGTAATATAGGATACTGATCAGTCACCACCTATCAGGTGAAATCACCCACTGCACAAAAGAAAAGCAACCAAATTCCTGAAATTATAGTGGAAGCTACAGACTTATCTACTGAAATTTGGTAAGTATTAATTTGTTTTCTTAATATATCCCCCAATTTGTACACAGCGTTAACAACTATGTATTCTACAACCTACAACACTGGTTCCAAGCTGCGAACACAAACCACTAGTAGCAAATGTTGTGGTACACCAAAAAAGACCCATCAAATTCCCTTAACTCAGAGATCATTGAAAAGTCTAGAATTCTTGCTTTAGAAGATATAATCATTAACAACAATAATTATCAACGTACCATACCTTCAGCAAACTTGAATGCTCTTCAGCTGTAGGCATGATTCCATCAGTGTAATATTATCAAGGCAATGGCAGCAGCATGCACTAGGTCTACTCGGAAAGAAAAAACCTTCTTATTTGAGCAATCCACATAAGGTACTGAAATAATTTCACAAAATTGGATATAGTTGGATTTCTTCTGATGTCTGTACAATCAGCTTCAGAGAATAAAAAGCCATTCTGACACATTGTACTACACTGCTGTCGCTGATGCTGGGACAGATACAAGGAAAGCTAAAATGAAGTAATTTTAATTTATGATCTGTTATAATACAAAATGTTTTCTTCCATATGCAAAATGAAAGCATACAAAAATAAAAGGTACAATTTTTCCACATATTCTGTATTAAGTACCTTTTATAATAACAATTTGCTTTATAGTCCCTTTTCAGAGATTGCTTTTATTGCTTCTATTTGTTCCATACAGTAGTTGTCTTTATAAAGAATTTATTGCACTTTATCACTGAGAAAAGTTGTGTGACATTATTTATTCCATGTAAACTCCATAAAAAGTATTTTTAGCTTTTCCCTCTCAGTACACAGCCACATGCTTTTAGAAGTAGCTGGGACTTCTTATGAGATTTTATAAAGTGTATTAAATAAGCTAAAATACAGGTTGGTCAAGCCACCGTTAAATCACAATCTAGTAATCTTCCACAAAGTCTCAAGTACTAAATTAACCACATTTACCAGACCATTTCACGATTTTTTTACCCCACAGATTTTCCAGTTAATTAAAAATACTTTTTCTGTTCCCTTTTGACATGTGGATGCATGTAGATGGAGCAAATCAGATACAGTGACAACAATCAAAAGCCAAAGTGATTGCCTGTTCCACCTACAGCTTCTAAGCAGAAACTGCAATAGAGTTATCAAAATTATTGCACTATACAAACTACCTGGTTTAAAGAGAGAAAAAAAGCATTTGCCCTCTAATGACACAATAGTAAAGTACAGCTTGAAAGCCAGCATAAATTTTTAACCTTTTTGTATGACCACATCCAGAATCCTAGCTGCAAATGAACAAGTTTTTTTTTCTTAATCCTCTTTTAGAGAACTAAGACAGCATTAGACAAATACCTTTAAGAGAATACCGATATATTGGAACTTGTTTTTAAGATTTCTTGTGCTGTACTATAGAACATTAAGCAAAGGCTTTTTATTAGTGTATTTTTGCTTTGGTTACTATTCCTCTATTTTCACATGTCCACCCGATGGGAAAAAAAGCTACAATATAAATTCACCTTTACTCCCCACAGTACTGGCAAGCTAAGCTGCCAGAAGACATGATGAAGTACATGCGTGAAGACAATATAAAAACTTCAGGCTCAAATAATTTCTTTGTAAGCCCAGGTAACACATCTTTCTCATGCTGCAGTGGATCTTGCATCCCCTATCCTAATGACTGGGAACCAGGATCTCTACCTAAAACAGCCTGCAGGAAGTTTCCAAATATTTCTTTCTGGAAGGTAATTTAGCAGATGCAAGCGATTTATCACAAACCTGTATGCAATTTTAAATTGTAGTTAATTCTAATATCTTATAAAAAGGAAATCAATAGGAAATGTTGGATGTTTTGAAACTTACAAATACATAGATTAAAAATATGAAATTTGTATCTGCTTAAAGAACTATTTCTAAAGTGTTCTACTCACCATGCAAAATATATGCTAAAAGGACAAGAAATTATTTAAAATAATTTCCTATCAGTCAAAACATGCATTTTCGAGGCTGTATTACAAACTACAGTGAGCCAGTAAGTCTTTCTTCCACAAAGGAGAAAATGTGGACACCTGCCACTCCTCAAGTGTAAAAAGTATTAAAGATTTAAGTAACTAAGCGTTAGAAGAGCTGCTGGCGGGGGGGGGGGGGGGGGGGGGTGTCACCTGTCTGCCAGAGTCACCTCAGTTTTCGTCAGCCTTGCCGTGGGCAGTACAACATCCCTGTCACACGGGTACCAGCAGCGGCCTACCTCACGTCCCGCCTTTGCCCCGCACTGCCTCCGCGCCGCGTTGCTGCCGGGTCACGGGCGGAAAGCCCACCTGCGGGTCGCCTCCTCCTTTCCTGCGTGGAGATTCTAACCCAGAAGCGCTTCAGAAGGAGCGGGGCAAGGGGCTAAGCCGCCACACAGGCCTCAGGGCGGCGGCGGCGGCAGGCGGGGAGGGGGCGGCCAGGGCCCCGCTGCCCCCCACCCGCAGGCAGGCGGCAAACCGCTGCGTTAGGCTCGTCCCCCGCCGCCGCCCGGCGCTCCCTCGGCCACGTTTAGCCTAACGGCGGCTGCGCTACGCGCGTACCTTGTGGGAGAAAAAAGGCACTGCCATGCTCGGCGGGAGGAAGCTCCGAGCCCGGCCCCCCGGAACCGCCTCG